CAGTGCAACGGAGTTTTTATCTACCGCATTAATGAATGGTTTAATAATAGAGGAAGGGCTCCCACAGCACTTGAGTGTCAGCAGAGCTTTTATTGACTGCTGGGAGACCTGGCAGCACCTGGCTGTGCCTCCCTTGCCCATCTGCAGGCTGTCTGGGTGCTTTGCCCCCTCTCAGCTGCTGTCAGCATGGGGGGAACCTGGTCGGTGGCAGGGGGGTAGTGGAGGCCCTGCCCTTCCAGAAACACTGCTGCCACTGTCTTGTGGCACAGGGAGCCCAGGCACAGGATGAGGAGGGGGCTGGAGGGCAGGCCCTGTGCCTGAGGGGCAGCCTGTCTCTCTGGCAGGCCAAATGGCCAGGGAGAGCCACCCCCAGGAGAGGGGCCCTCTGCCCCCCGACCCTCCTCCTCCTGCCTCGCCTCGTGAGGGCATCCTTCAGGCCACCGACACCTCTCCCAACACAGCCACGTCTGGCCATGCGTTGGCCACCGTCACAGAGGCTTCCTGATGTCACAGTGGCATCTGCCCCCCGGATTGTGCCGGGCCCTATAAAAGGCCCCTGCGCAGGGCCCGCCACTCGCTGAGCTTCCAGGCCCTCTGACAGCCGTCATGGATGGAAGAAAGAGGACCTGGAGCGGAGGCTGCCCACCCTTACGTGGGTCAGGAGAGGATTCGTTCCTCAAGCCAAAGAGAATGAGGCCACTGCCTCTGTTGAGGAAGTGGAAGAGGGCCGGCGCCGGTCGCAAAGGAGCAGTGCCCTGCGGTGCAGCAAATGCTGTGGAGCCCATGGAGGTGGATCTGCCTCCGGATGAAGACCTGATGGAGGTGGATCCACCTCCAGACGAGGCAATGGACATCGACGTGCCTGGGCTCCCAGCCGCCAACATCCATCGGCGGCACCGCAGGAGCAGACCACCAGCTCCTTATCCACGGCCCGGCCGCCGTGCCTCATAGCACGGCCATCCTTCCCTTCCCTTCCCTTTCCCCCATCCTCCATCCCCCACCCCCACCTCATCCAGAGGTGTCATCTCTTCTGCACGGAGGGAGTCTCAAGGAGTGGACGAGAGGGGACTTGGCTTCCTCTGGGATGCTGCACCAGGGCGGCAGAAGGAACCCCTCAGAGAGCCACGGTGGACCTTGGGACCAGGAGCCCGGCGATGTCTCTGTGTGAGGACAAGAAGGCTGCCCCATGGCTGCTTGAAGAGGAAGCCGCACCTTCCACGGCAAAGCACAAAGAAGAGCTGCAGATCAAAGCTGTTAGGGAGACAGCTGCTCCTCTGAAGAAGCAGAAGACTTCTCGTCTGCCGGGAAGAGGTGCTGGAGCGCAGCGTCACTGTTCATTCAGAGAAGAACAAAGAAGAGCTTCATTAGGAGCTCTTCCAAGACCAGGCAATAAACAGCAATAAAAAATAAAATGAAAAAGTGATAAAAAATCACAGAGAGCCACTTTCTTCTTTGGGGACAATTTAGCGACTGCGTCTGTACTGCTGCATCCCCTTCCCTGGGTGTTCCCAGGAGAGGAAAGATACCGATGTGTGTGCAGTGTGTGTAGTGTAGTGTGCCCAGCCCAGGGCATTCAAGACAGCGTGGCCCTGGGGCACACAGCGTACAAGGGCAGGCTGAGGGAACTCCTTGGGTCAGCATTAAGGAGAGAAGGCTCAGGGCTGGACCCGACTGCTGCCTCCAGCTGCCTCCTGAGAGCCTGTACAGCAAGCCTGTAGCCCTCCTGCTACCAAGTAAACCCAGTCCAGCTCCCAGCCCAACTGATTCAGTATGGTCTTGCCAGTGCCCAAGGACATACCATAGTAACACTTCAGGTTGGAAACATGAAAGCCTTTGTGGGATTCTTCTGGGTTGTGCCTGCGTGCACGCAAGGAGGGGTCTGGGGTGCCTGCGAGCACAGTGGGAGGGGTCCTGGGTTCCTGGGTGGGACGCTTTGACACTAGATAAGATAATGTCACGCTGTAAGAAATTGGCTTACGGCACAGAACGCTGGTCGTTGTGTCCGTTTGTCCCGGGGCTCTCGGTCAGGTTATCCTACAAGCCTTTGCTTGGGGTAACTGGGAGCTTTGTGAGGTAGCAATAGGATTAACAACGTTATTGCTCACTACTGTTTGAATCAGGTTGTGCGTACTCTGTAGTAGAGAAACAGGATCTCTCATTTTGGTAGCTACATGCTCATTTCCAAGGTGATGTTTAATTTACTTCATTTGTAAAAGTACTTTGTAAAAATCAAGTCCTCATGCTTGTAAAATGAATGTAGATTTACATGCATATAATTATATATTCCAAAACATTTCTATCTAGAAATTTTAATCTTTTGTATGAACTAACCGTTTGGTACAGACACATATGTAAGGAAAGAAAGAGTTTATCTCTGTGAGGTAAAATCGGGAACAGATCGTGTCCTTCAGACGCATGCTGGCCCATCTCCATGAGCATGGAAGGTGGTTCAACATGCTGCTTAGCGTGCCTTGATGGTGCTGAGCCAGTCTTGGAGTAAGACATCCTCCAGTGTGCTCTGCCTAAAGCTCCTTCAAAGCTAAGCACTCCAGCAGCTTTGCAGCTTCATGGAGAAATGCTACAAGGACGCAGCAGCCTGTGCTGGAAGCCTGATGCTGCAGGCAGCCAGAGCTGCTGAGCAAAGTGAACCTGCACAGATTAGCAGGAAATGGGGCTGCACCCTGGCTAAGAAGTGAAATGGGGGAAGGACACAGCTTCCCAGGATGTTGCCTGGTGAATATCCAGAGTTTCTGCTAGCACTGGCTGGTACTCTTTGAGAAAGTGCCAGGACACAGTCTAGAGTTAGCAAGGATCATCAGCTATTCAGCATTATGGGTCGTCATGATGGGTCAGGCCACACTGTTTTTTGAAGGAAGAGTTCAACTGTATGCATGCCAGTCCTTCCATGGTATTTGCTCTGCGGGACAGAGCAGAGGGGATTTACTGCACTTTAGTGGACAGTATTTTGGTGCTGTGGTAAGGGCCATGTCTATCCTTCATGTCATCTGCTCTCCCTTCTGGCCCACACCTAGAAATTAGAGTTGAACTGGATCTTACCAGGTGATTTCCAGACAAGGAAAAGACCTGGCAGCACTGGGGAGCGCCCTGTAGCCCAACTTGGTCGACAAGGAGCCTATCTCCCTGCTGTGTGGCCCACACACCCCTCTGAACCTCTCTGCTCACATGAGTGCAGCCCCAGGACATGACCTAATGTGTCGCAGAGAGCAGGGAGCCCCAGGAGGCCCATGGCAGCGGGAGGCTTCGCTGCAGCTCCTGACTGCTTTACCTTTGTTAGATGTAGGAATTGATAGGACAGGAGAAAGGAAACTCTGGGAACCTGCCCCCTGCAATGTGAGCTTCAACAGCTGTCATTTGTGAGGTCAACTTTTAATGTTCCACTTTCCTCCCTCTCCTGCAGTTAAAGGACTAGCTTCAGTCTACCCATCTAGTTAGACAGCTGATGGTTAGTTGTGAGTGGACTAAGTCTACCAGAAGTCAAAGCTATCTGACACCAAGTTCATCTTTATTGCTTTTTTCAAATGCGAGCAAAACTTCTTTGTACTCAGAGGCAATTTAATCAAATTTCAGTCCCTCAGCAATCCCTCTGGGTAAAATAAATAAATAAATAAATAAATAAATAAATAAATAAATAAATAAATAAATAATCCGTGGTATTTTTTCTTCTGAGATTTAAGATTAACAATTCTACTAACCAAAACCACAGCAGCTGCTGCTTTTCTGCCATTAAACTGGGTGACACAGCTATTGCAGTTCAAGACAATTTTGATATGCTGGAGATAACTCGAAATGACTTAGCAAAATATAAAAGACATATAAATTTAAAATTTCAGTTTGTATTACTATATATTTTATGGTTATTCATGTTTCATTGCATTACTCTGTGGAAATTCAGGAAGTCCAAATAAAATATAAGCACATAAGTATCTTTGTTTTTGCAGATAATATGAGCAGAATAATAGCATGTATGGGGCACAATAACTTATTTATGTTATAGTATCTGTGCCCAGATTAGATGCAGTTTCAAAATTTTAATAAGTCTACCTGAAGATCTTTTTAAGCCAGAGAGAGCTGCGTGTTAAACATAAAATACTAAATTAAGGATATTAAATGGAGTTATGATATTGCCAGAAGCGAAATTCTGCTACAGTGACAATATGTTTTTAACAGTGTGCGTGCCCTACATTTTGCAAACAGAGAGAAAAGTGAATACAATTAGATTTGTTAACTTGAACATCAGTATACACATGATGTGATAAGAAACCGTGCATTGTTCTCTGCAATTCTATGTCGTATTCCATATGTGCTTTAACTTTCTCTTTCGAGTCTGCCTGGTGATAAACTCAATAATCCTCCAATAACTATTGCAACTCTTGTCCCTCAAATGGTGCTAAGTCAGTTGCCTGTGATGTGTGGATGTTATTTTCAGTGTTTTCAATGAAAATGTGAGATGTTCCCCGAGGGTTCTGCAAGTAGCAATGCAGATAAAAATCAGTTTAAATAAATACTGTAGATCCTTAAATTTTAAGATGATTATAGCTCAAATGCTATAATATGACAAATATTAGATCCTACATAATCTTTCTACAGTTTAAGACTGCGTCTTTATGGAATAGTTATAAATGTTTGACAGAAGCCGACAACCACCCCACACCCTTGGTTTTGTTCTCTTCAGGTACTACTCAATTGTGTTTCTGCTTTTACAACTTTTTTTTTTTTTTTTTTTTTGAAATATACTTAGCCTTTACAATTATTTTTTTTTAATTTTTTATTCTTTTTTCCTAGATAGGGAGGAGCAGAGCTTTAGTTTGTCAAACTTCTTGAAGAATTCAAAAAGGCAGTAAATAAGTGATAGATTATCCCAACTAAATGTTTCCAAGGTTTGCATCAGAAGTTTTCAGAGTACTGGTACCACAATACTCTGCTTGTCAAGTATGTCCCCTCTGTGTATGGTCACACTCAGATATCCAGAGTGTGGCTTAATTTTACACCTTCTATTTAATGTTTTGGAAAGCACAAAGAAACAAGTTGGTTTTCCTGCAGGATTTCCTTGTCATATAGCAGGTAGTCTTGTCTTCTGCTACGGCACAACTTGAAGTGACAAGCAAATCCAATTAGCCTGGGCAGAACAAAATGCTCCCACAGGCTTTGTTGCGTCTTGCATGCCAGTGGGCACTAAGGTGCAAAGCCCAACGCTGACTTCTCAAAGCTCTGCTAATGCATTGTTTACTCATGACAATATCCCAGTTCCTCAGACCTGGAAGTTTCTTAGAGTAGTAGCCCAGCAAAGGAAAATACGATGTTCTGTACCTGGAGAGGAATAAGCCCATGCACCAGCACTGGCTGGAAAGCAGCTTGGCAGAGGAGGACCTGGGGGTCCTGGTGGACACCAAGTTGAACACAAGCCAGTAATGCGCCTTTGAAAAAAAAGAAAGCCATCAGGACCCTGGGCTACATCAGGAACAGTGTTGCCAGCAGGTCAAGGGAGATGATGTTCCCTCTACTTAGCAGTGGTGAGGCCCCAGCTGGGGCACTGGCTCCTCCCCTGCTCTGCACTACCAGAAGGACATGGACTTCCTGAAGCAAGAGTGAAGTGGAAAGTAATAAAGATTATTAAGGGACGGGAGCGTCTCTCATACGAGGAAGGCTGAGAGAGCTGGGATTATTCAGCTTAGAGAAGGATCAGAGGGATCTTGTCAATGTGTATATGTATTTTTTTTTTTTTACTGGGAGGGTGAGCGAGCGTTGGAACAGCTTGCCCAGAGCAGTTGTAGAGTCTCCTTCTATGGACATATTCCAAACTTGAGTGGACATGACCTTGAGCAACCTGCTCTAGTTGACCCTGTTTTGAGGAGGGAATTTGGACGAGATGATATTCAGAGGTCCCTTCCAGACTCAGTAATGCTCTGCTTCTGTGATTCTGTTTGATCTCAGTGTCCAAGGTGTCTTCTTCTATCTTACAGAGACACTCCAAGAGGAGGTGAAGGCTGTGAGGTGCTTCAACACTGCAATAGTAGTATAAGAAATTAGCTATAAAGCCTAGCTTGGAAAATATAGGGTTTTCCTGCATTATATTGAAGAAATAAAAGGCTGGTGACAGCCTCCTTCATGCCTAAGCGCATTGCTCCCTGCACTCTGTATGTAAGCTGGTGCAGTTTCAGGTGTTTTCAGTACAGTCATTTGCTATTTGCTGAGTACCAGAGATACAGTTCAAGCTGTCCAGGCACATTTAACAAGTGTATCAGGAACTTCAAATGACACGGAGTCAGCGCAGTGAATGCTACACTAAGAGTTTTTCATCTTTGTGTTCCGTCATGCTTTAGTAATCATTTCATAGACGGCAGTGCCAAGAATCAATTTTGGTAAAAAAGGATTTTCTTAAAGCGGAAATTGACTGTGGTCTATGTTCTAAACAGCACAAGAGAAATATTCCACAAGTTGAAAAGCCTAATGCTACGTTGCATGGCATGATTGTTTTCCTGTCATGGCATACCTGCATCATTTCCAAGCAGGGTACACTGGAGAGAAGGAGGCTGAAGGGAGACCTCACCACTCCCTACAGTGGCCTGCAAGGAGGTTGAACCAAGTATGGTATCAATCTCTTTTCTCAGGTGACAAATGGTAGGACGTGAGGAAGCAGCCTCAAGTTGCCCCGGGGGAGGGTTAGATGGGTCTAAGGAAGAATTTCTTCAAGAAAAGGGTGGTAAGGCATTGGGACGGGTTGCCCAGGGAAGCAGTGGAGTTGCCATCCCTGGAGGACTTAAGAAATGTGCGGATGTGGCGCACAGGGACATGGGTTAGTAGTAGACTTGATAGTTAGGTGGATGGTTGGACTTGACGATCTTAAGAGTCTTTTCCAAGCTAGATGAGGCGACGCTTCTCTGCTTTCTGTGATGCCATGGCAGATTCTCAGTGCAACGGAGTTTTTATCTACCGCATTAATGAATGGTTTAATAATAGAGGAAGGGCTCCCACAGCACTTGAGTGTCAGCAGAGCTTTTATTGACTGCTGGGAGACCTGGCAGCACCTGGCTGTGCCTCCCTTGCCCATCTGCAGGCTGTCTGGGTGCTTTGCCCCCTCTCAGCTGCTGTCAGCATGGGGGGAACCTGGTCGGTGGCAGGGGGGTAGTGGAGGCCCTGCCCTTCCAGAAACACTGCTGCCACTGTCTTGTGGCACAGGGAGCCCAGGCACAGGATGAGGAGGGGGCTGGAGGGCAGGCCCTGTGCCTGAGGGGCAGCCTGTCTCTCTGGCAGGCCAAATGGCCAGGGAGAGCCACCCCCAGGAGAGGGGCCCTCTGCCCCCCGACCCTCCTCCTCCTGCCTCGCCTCGTGAGGGCATCCTTCAGGCCACCGACACCTCTCCCAACACAGCCACGTCTGGCCATGCGTTGGCCACCGTCACAGAGGCTTCCTGATGTCACAGTGGCATCTGCCCCCCGGATTGTGCCGGGCCCTATAAAAGGCCCCTGCGCAGGGCCCGCCACTCGCTGAGCTTCCAGGCCCTCTGACAGCCGTCATGGATGGAAGAAAGAGGACCTGGAGCGGAGGCTGCCCACCCTTACGTGGGTCAGGAGAGGATTCGTTCCTCAAGCCAAAGAGAATGAGGCCACTGCCTCTGTTGAGGAAGTGGAAGAGGGCCGGCGCCGGTCGCAAAGGAGCAGTGCCCTGCGGTGCAGCAAATGCTGTGGAGCCCATGGAGGTGGATCTGCCTCCGGATGAAGACCTGATGGAGGTGGATCCACCTCCAGACGAGGCAATGGACATCGACGTGCCTGGGCTCCCAGCCGCCAACATCCATCGGCGGCACCGCAGGAGCAGACCACCAGCTCCTTATCCACGGCCCGGCCGCCGTGCCTCATAGCACGGCCATCCTTCCCTTCCCTTCCCTTTCCCCCATCCTCCATCCCCCACCCCCACCTCGTCCAGAGGTGTCATCTCTTCTGCACGGAGGGAGTCTCAAGGAGTGGACGAGAGGGGACTTGGCTTCCTCTGGGATGCTGCACCAGGGCGGCAGAAGGAACCCCTCAGAGAGCCACGGTGGACCTTGGGACCAGGAGCCCGGCGATGTCTCTGTGTGAGGACAAGAAGGCTGCCCCATGGCTGCTTGAAGAGGAAGCCGCACCTTCCACGGCAAAGCACAAAGAAGAGCTGCAGATCAAAGCTGTTAGGGAGACAGCTGCTCCTCTGAAGAAGCAGAAGACTTCTCGTCTGCCGGGAAGAGGTGCTGGAGCGCAGCGTCACTGTTCATTCAGAGAAGAACAAAGAAGAGCTTCATTAGGAGCTCTTCCAAGACCAGGCAATAAACAGCAATAAAAAATAAAATGAAAAAGTGATAAAAAATCACAGAGAGCCACTTTCTTCTTTGGGGACAATTTAGCGACTGCGTCTGTACTGCTGCATCCCCTTCCCTGGGTGTTCCCAGGAGAGGAAAGATACCGATGTGTGTGCAGTGTGTGTAGTGTAGTGTGCCCAGCCCAGGGCATTCAAGACAGCGTGGCCCTGGGGCACACGGCGTACAAGGGCAGGCTGAGGGAACTCCTTGGGTCAGCATTAAGGAGAGAAGGCTCAGGGGTGGACCCGACTGCTGCCTCCAGCTGCCTCCTGAGAGCCTGTACAGCAAGCCTGTAGCCCTCCTGCTACCAAGTAAACCCAGTCCAGCTCCCAGCCCAACTGATTTAGTATGGTCTTGCCAGTGCCCAAGGACATACCATAGGAACACTTCAGGTTGGAAATGAAAGCCTTTGTGGGATTCTTCTGGGTTGTGCCTGCGTGCACGCAAGGAGGGGTCTGGGGTGTCTGCGAGCACAGTGGGAGGGGTTCTGGGTTCCTCATGAAAATATCCCAGTTCCTCGGACCTGGAAGTTTCTTAGAGTAGTAGCCCAGCAAAGGAAAATACGATGTTCTGTACCTGGAGAGGAATAACCCCATGCACCAGCAGTGGTTGGAAAGCAGCTTGGCAGAGGAGGACCTGGGGGTCCTGGTGGACACCAAGTTGAACACAACGGCAGCAATGGAAAAATTGTAAAAGTCAGAGGAATCAGTATCTATCCCTATAGGTGAACCAGTTTTATAGTGATAGGATTTGATTCTCTTGGGAATATCTAGAGAAAACAATTTCAAACTATATGGCTAGAAAAAGAAAAAAATTATAACCTTAGAGAAGTATTAATTATGTGGAAATAGCATTTGCACTTTTTTTTTTTTCCTTCCTGTACATTTTAGAAGGCTTATTAGCATTTTCAGTGTTATACATTCTGGCTTGAATAAAATGTTTTCTCTATACTGAAAAATTGACAACTTTTTTCTCTAATTGTCCAACTGGCTCTTCTCAATGTTTTCAGTAAATAGCATGCTGTAGTGCTGTTTTCATGTAGCAAGATTACGATGAAGTAAGTATTGGAAAGCTTTATAAAATACTTTCATTAACTTACAGCCAAAAAAGAATTTTCCTTTCTATTATAGTAAAGAAATGGTGTAAGTGTGCTATTGTAGCACGGTTTTATTTTCAATTTTGTATGATGTCTGTAAATAGTCCAGTCTATTTATTTTTAGACTGCAGTAATATACAATTTCTTAGAGATAAGTTGAAAAACTAGAAGACTAGGCAGAAAAAAACAGTTATTACCTGTTAAGGTGAGAACAAATGGTACAGCTAATTTTAAGGATTATAAATTCTTCATATTTTTATTAGCATTTGTATCAGAAAAAAAAAATATTAATATTGAATTAAGTTAAGGTGTTTGAGATCTTAAAGATGTACTAAGAGTGTTCTGCTTCATACATTAAAAGTATGTAATTATACTACAACCACATTTCAGAGCAAAACAAAGACAAGACAGTCAGGGAAAAATCAAATTGTCAGGTAAATAAGCTCTCATCTAGGAATTAGGGAATAGATTTGCTCTAGATTTCCTCTAACACATGAACCATAATTAGCAGATCTTCATAAAAAAGCAGCAAATAAATTTGTAATGCTGACCTCCCTAAAGTAAACAAATTTTTTGTCATTGACCATTGTACATGCTATTTCTTCTCTAAGAATTAGTCACAGAAATTATTGTGGAACCTCATTTAAAGATCTATTATGGAAAAAACTAAACAGGAGTCTAATTTGCTTTTAACAATTTCAAAAAAAAATCTAGAAAAGTTTATTAAACAAAACAATTATCGCATATCACTTGCCTTTCAAATTTAGGCTGCCTTTTAAAAATTTCACCTTTGTTAGTTAAAATGTTCTCACGCCTCCTCCTAAGCTGCCTGTCATCAAGGCATTTGCCACTTAATTCAGTTTTCAAGAATCTCATAGATACAAAACTTTATTTATTTATTTATTTATTTTAGACTCAGATCTCATTTCCACATTTCATTGCATTTCTCCAGCATGCGGAGAGGAGGGAAGTGACATTTTCATGTAGCTTAAAGGAAAACTGCTCTCATTTCAAGAAGTCCAGCTTTCCAGAAGTTCACACATTAAGAATCATTTGTCAACTGAGATAAAGGATAACATTAAAAACAAAGTGTTAAATATCAGTTGACATTTTGTAAGGAAACAATCTGCAATTTATCTCAGTGCGAGAAACTATGCAAAATTTTCCAGCATTATTTTGTTCATGCCTTCAATGGAAGAAAAAACAGTAATCCTCTGAGTGTGAAGTTTCTATGTGTTCCACTGAAGCAGTGCTGTAGACAATGTGCAGGACTGGACAACTACCTGATACTCTCCTCATATGTCTGTATGTGAACAATATTCTCTTTAAATTTTCTTATGAAAGTGTCAGGATCACACCCACAACATAACATGCATCTAATTTTTGATGATGATTAGAGAAATAGGTTAAAACTATGGAAAATCAGAAACATTTTATGATTGGGGATGATGCAATGAAGTTTTTGAAAATGTTGAGATTCAAGTGATTTAACTTCAATTTAATTAAAAGGTAGATTATTTTGGCTGTTCTCAGAGTAAGCATAAATTGTGAAGTACCTTGAACACTGACTTTATATGATCTTTAGATGTAGCTTTACACCATATTTGTAATTGTTTTCTCTTTACACTTCTGGTGCACGAACCTTACAAGCATTTTGATTAATCTGAATTAAACTAAGAAGTAAATTTTAAAAAATATCCAACAACCAAACAACTTCCCTCCTCCACTTGACAGGTAGAATTTCCTGAAAAAGAAGAAGCTGTTATATATATCATACATATATAACATATTATAATATGTATATAATGCAAAAAAAAAAAAAGAAAAAAAAAAGACTATATATATAACATACATAATAGAGATGTATAATCTAATCTAATTAGAGAGGACATGGCTTTTTTCACAGATAGGAACCTGTGAAAAAGAAGTGCAGCGTTACAGATAAAAGTGTGGTCTGTGATAGAGTGTTTTAGGTAAAGGAAGAAAATTGTCAGTGCTGATGTGGACAGAAGAAATACACAATTAGAAATCAGGTAAGAAACAAGACTTTTAAGTGCCTTTGCCTGGAGGATGAACAAAGGGATAACAGAGGAGTGTTTCTGGCATGGTATAATTTATCCCTTAACACTACAAATTTATTACGCCTGTTAAAAACTTTTCATTCCTACTGTCCTTTGAATAGATGTTCAAAAATATTTGGTGGAACATTCCAAACATTTCTGTTGCTAAATAACTGAGAAAGTATAAAGTTAATTTTCATTTAATTCACTGGTAATTCTTTTTGCCCTCTTCTCAAACAGTTCATGACTATCTGTCAACATTTCTATGAAAGGCTGCACTATGCAACAGTTACTGCTTTGAAAACTAGACTGCTTTACCAGCCATGGTCAGCATTTTCAGAAATTAATGTCTCCAGAAAGTAACCTAAGTTGATACTTTGTCTGAAACTTTTTCAAAAAATACCTTATCCCTACAATTGCCTACAGTGACAACCTCCATGCAAAGCAAAAACAGTGGCATGATTTTGAAAGTTATAAGATCCATTTAGATATTGGGAACTTTCTTTTTTGTTTTTGTTTTATGTTGAATTGCTGCCTGAAAATAGCAACATTTTATACGTATATACAGAGACACACATATGTATATAAACACATTATCAAGTTTACAGTTTGATAATTGCTATAATGGTATAAGTCCTATTTGCATACTTAAACCTCAGCTGTGAGCTATGAGAAACAGACGCTACCTTTCCGAGTACCTGATTTCTTGTTGCAAGAAATAATACTTAAAGAGAAAATTAATATATATATATATATATATATATATATATATATATATTTCACCCATGCTTTGGACATCTCCATTCATCACAAGTATTAGCATACCCATGTGATATCTATATATAGAATTAATGAATTAAGTTCAAGCAATGGTGCCTTATAGACATGAATAGGAAATGTTTAAGTAGGTCAGACAAAAATTATTCCATTTTGACAGACGAACTACCTGGCAGAAGCATGCTGATACTGAGGTAATCCCAAGGGTCCAGTCTGCAGATGAGTCAGTCAATACTGTTGAAAGACACAACACTATTGATGGATCATAAATGCACAGTGGCTCAAAGATAGCCATTAATATTTTATATATAGCATTTTGAATTAAGATATAATCTAATGACATTTAAGATGTATGGGAAAGATATAATGGTAGGCTGTGAAGCTGTGACCAACAGATTTCTGTTGAGTGGTGTAGGCTCACTGTTTTCTTTCCACTCAGAAATGAGTGACTGGTATCAGACAAAATCCAATTGTGTGGAAGTATTTATATTGCATCCTTTATTTAAGGGAACTTTAAATGGACTTTTACCTATTGTGTGCCTTTGCACTTCTCAGAAACTATTAATGGTATTGTATTTCAGTCAGTAGACTCTCTGCTGAGGTTTCAGAACAGGTCTCAACTACTTTTCAAAAGTGAGATTATGTGTAATGAAGCATTCCTACAGTATTTGAACTTGAACACTGAGCTTCATGAAAGAGCTGAAAATGTATCTGACAGAGCTTCCTTACCTGATACCTACACCAACAGTATGTTTGGCTTCTTGAAGCTCTCTATCCTTGACATTTTGCAACATGCTGAACAGCAAGAAAGAGACAATAGAATGCTCACCTCCCACTACTCCTGTTCTGGTGGTGTGCATGTGAAAGTCTACTATACCGCATTTAAACCAGGCACGTTCAGTCTATTTGCTAATACAAGTCTAAATTTCTAAAGATCACCACTGCATGGATTATGATATTCATTTTAAAACTGAGTGAATTCATCTATGTGTCTCTTTGAAAAGTGGCTTATACTAGTCAATGAACAGTGTGCCCTGGCAATTCTTCAAAATCAAAATCTTAACACTCTTTGTCACATATGGATCATTGCCAATTTACTAATAAATTGATTATGTAATGAAAAACTGTTGGCAATAGAGGAAACCTTGCAAGTACATCTCAAACCTCACATGGCTTGTCTTTCAGTATATAGATTGAAACAGCAGCTACTCAGTGCAAAATGACAGTATATGAAAAATAATCCTGACTTCAGTGTAAGATGATGGATACTTAACAATATTGAAAATGTAATAATTTGTTCAGTAACCTGTCCTTCGGCTGCTGCTTAGTGATAAGGTATGTACCTTCCGGATTTTAATATGCAATAAATTTGAGATTTAGATTGAGCATAGCATAGTTTTCCAGAAATGCTGATCTGTTTCTCCCTTTTAATTTAGCATATGGTTTGGCATGGGTGAAAGGGAATAAAAAAACGGAGCATCAAGTACTGGTAAACTGACACATCTTGCACAGCTAGAACAAGTTTTCAAAGAATAATGTTTCCCATAGCATAAAAAAATAAAGCTGGTGTTGTACATCAATACAGAGAAAAAAAAAAAAAGGAAATGAAAGAAAGTGAAAAGAAAGTGAAAAGCATTCTTAGATTTGTTCAGTCAAAACCAGCATGAAGTACATCAATTGTAAGTAAAAGAGAATCATTCAAAATCAGCGTAGCTAAAAGGACCATGGGTGACCAGATCTAGTGGGTGCAGGGGGGTTGGAACTAGTTGATTGTTAAGGTCACTTCCAACCCAAGGCATTCTATGATGATAATACAGACTAAACACCCTCTTAAAATAGATTTTTGCCTCCCTTCCTCTGATCTGAGAGATTTTTCAGAAATCCTTTCTTTTGATGGTCAGATGTCCTGTAATATCTGGGCTAAATTTAATTATAACCAGTCTATTCACATTTGTGTTTTTGCCAACTGTGATATTTAGCTCTATCAGCTCCTCTAATAGCTTCTCTTATGATGTATTAAAAGCGAGTAATCTTTTCAACATTTCAAAATTTGAAAATATTCAAAGAGGGTAACCCTTTTCAACACTTATGTTGCTCATAAAATCCAGCTGTGCTCTTCTACCAGAATCCTCTTCAAGGACAGGCTCTGCATTCCCCTGAAGCTCCTTGTTGCCCTTCTGTTGTCCGGTTTGGGACTAAATTCCTATGTGCCATATCCATTTTGGTTATTTTTTCTTGAATGTGATTGACTAGAACTTTACAGTTTTCCAGATGAGTTCTGACTGGAGCCTTATAAAATGGCACTAATACATCTCTACTTTTCTTGGAAATGTTGTGCCTGAGGCACCCTAGGATTGGATCTGCGTTTTTCACAGATGCATCACGTTATTTTAGGAATTTGATTTCACTGAAAGGAACAATTAAATTAAAATAACTTTGAAATAAGCTCATTCTCACACTGTTGCTATGTGGACTCAGCAAACAGAGTACGTTTCTTGCAGACATCTTTCCTTTGTTATGTATCAGATTCCATCTTTTTGTCATAAAAATAGATTTTTTAGTTTAACAGTTTTATTTTGACCAATAGATTTAACACGGTGATCCTCCATATGTGAAATTCAAATGTAGTTTAAAGGAAAACATTTAGGAAGCACTGAATAAATTTTATGTAGCCAATTCAGAGTCTCTCTCAAACCATTATACAGGATACATCACTTCTCAAGAAAGTACAGTTTTCAGAAACATATTGCTAATTACTTTAGGTAGATAAAAACATATTAAAAACTAAGTGATTTTTCAATTTATCAAAATTATTATAAGAAATAATAATGGAAGGTGAATACAGCTTATGTGTAAGCACATAAATAAGCAAATATCAAATATACATTTGTAAGTTATATTAAAAATGTGGACATGTTATATTAACATTTAATATAATAGATATATACCTCTATATTAACATTTCAAAGCACATACTTACCTATCAAAATTGAGGAAAACTCCACTAACTGTGAAAGAGAAACTGTACTGAAATTACTCTTTAACATAAAACTGAAGGAAAAAACAAAACAAACAAACAAAAAAATAGATAAATTCAAACTACCAAATATAACCACAGGCTGAAAGGCTCAATGTTTCTTAATGTTCATTGTAAAGACACCCTCTATCCTTCCTACCCCAAAGAACTAAAATTTTTCCCCAGATTTTAGAGGAAATTCATAGTCAATAATATGAAGTAATAGTAATATCAGGCAAAGGAGTACAGTTTTGTTAAATGCCAAACAAACATATTGGCTTGTATAAGAATACTGATGACAGAGTGATCTGAAAGAATACTAGGACTGGAGACTAAATAAGAAGGGGAAACAACTGCTGCATCAGTGTTCACCATATGAAAGTCTGCTGTTAGTAGAAGGTACTAACCTTCATTATGTCCTCCTGCTGAAATATTCTGCTGCCTGCTATTTTTATTATGATATATTATGACTAAAAGACTAACAAAAACAATCATGGAAATAAATTTAAGGATAAGCAAGAAGAGAGTGTAAGTGAGAAACAGGACAGAGCAAAAAATTAAACTACAAGTAAGTAAATGCTTAATTTTATAAATGAACTGATTGGTTCATTTTTTTTTTTTCCACATGGATTCAATGTTTTCACATTGTTCCTTTGACAGGTTACAAAAGAATGAAGGGAATGCATCAGGCTATTCAAATGTTATTAAAATATTAGAGAATATCACCTCATCAATTTGACTGAGACCAATTTATATCTCTCATGAAAATACAAAAATCTTATTGACAGTTCTATACAAAGTGTAATGATACAGAACAATGTACTGTTCTGGAGATGGAAGACTTTACCAGAGGTTGAATAGATTATGTTTTCATTCTGGGTTTATCAAGTAAATAAAATACAATGAGAGCTAGAAGGGTTGGAATTATCATTAAAAATTAATTAAACAGGAGAACTAGTTATAAGGAGGAAAAAAAGGAAAAGAAACCTGCTTTGGAGGAGACAGTAATACTGAAAGCAAAACAAAACAAAACAACAAACAAACAAAAAAGAGGGAGTAAATGGTGACAGAACGATGCACATCATATATTTCAATTCAAATCTGCCAACAGAGTACTCTGTTTGAATGATAGGAGAAAATGATGCTAAATCTGCCAAGAAGCAAACAAGCAAACAAAAAGTGTTACTTATGCTAGGTATGCATAGAAGCCAGCAACAGTTTTACATGTGACATGCAACAACAAGATTTTAAAAATAAAATCTTGAAATTAATGTTGTTGAAAATTTCAAGACAAAAGGTTTTTCATAGCTATTTTATTAGATTATGTGGATAAACCTGTTAGATGTTAGATCCAGAAGTTATTTTATAAATTATTTTATAAATTCATCCATTCACTTTCTTATTGCGCATGCATTTGTTTCAGTTTTAAAAAAATCCATCTTAAACCTAGATATTTTTAGATTGTGGAAGTTGTATTACTATTATATAAAGTATATTTCATGCTACAGATTAGAAAGTATTTCCAATTAATGAACTAAAAGAGTTGTTATTTATGGTTAAGGAAGGAAGTACAATACTTCAATGATAGTCATTGATTTTTCACAAATCTTTTCTGACTGGATAAAGCTCAGCTCATGAACACACTGAAGGAACTACAGTAGGGAAGAATTTCATTGGGAAGAACTTTCCAGGAGATGCTAAGAAATTTTCTGTTGTCACAGCTACTGTGGGATAGGTTCTGCTGGTGACTCTTGAATACTTTTGCTGAAAAAAAAAAACAACAGGATATGGAGCCTATGAAGAAAAATCCAGAAAGCCTTTTGGTGTTCACTTTATGATATACAACAAATAAAAAGGCAGTGTTCAAATGCACTAATTGCAAATCTTTAATTTGTCAAAATTTCTGCAAACCATAGTAGTAGTAAAATTTGGGGTGTATATTTTACAGAATGTGTGACTACTTCCGATGACTTAGAGGCTATTCGAATTGGATCTTTGTGGCAAGACACAGTAGTTGAAAATTTAGTTTGATATGTAAAATCTAGGTTAGGGACCATTGCACAAACTCTCATGAACAGCATATTTTAAAAAAGCAGCAACTCTAATTTGTAGGAATCTTTGCATAGGGTAATGTGTGTGTGAGGTATCAAATTTTTGGAACAGGGCATTTGGTTGCTGTGCAGATGTCAATGGGAGTCTCCGTGGAAGTTCCTTGCAATGATGCCTTCAGCAGGATCAAGTGAGACTCCCTGATTTGCTGTGCTGCTGAACTCTTCTCCAGCTTGCCAACTGTTCTGTGTGACTTCACATGCACAGGCTGTTGTTAATAGTGTTTTTAAACTATACACAAAGAATCGCTGAACTAAGTTGATGCACAAAGATTTTTTGACATAACCACTTTGGCACCTTTAGAACAGTTTTCACTGACTCTTTACAACTTTTAGCCTATGCGCAATGGTAATTTCTGTACCAGCAGCTCTCTAGGAGTATCTGTTATGGCCAGATTCTTTACCAGATGGCCAGATGTTAATCTCTCCATTGAAACATACTGGTTTCTCTGTGTACAGCAAGAGTCACCTGGAGGGATCTTCAGGGCAGTTGAAGATTCCCATCTGCAGACTCATATTCAAATACTTGAATGCATTGAATACATATTCAAATGGCTATAATTCAGTCAATCATTTGATCTCAGGTCAGTTCAGTGTCCCAAATAAGACCATTGTCGCATTTGTGCAGATAAGTAACTCAGAAGTTTCTGGGCCATCAGAGAAGTTAATCACTTAAGTGCACATAAGTGCATGTGAGCAGAGCCTGGACACAACTATGCCATGAGTACAGCTATAGAGAAGAATTTGAATTTGATTCTTAACTCTCATTTACAAGTAAATTCCATTGTTGTTGCCACAGGACTAAACCAAACCATATGACTGCATTCTAACTGCATATGGCACTAGGTATCCTGGGTTGATTACAGTTATAATCAACATAGAATAAAACTTCACACAACTTGTTGCATGTATGCTACAGCAATAAAGACGTATCTTTAAAGCAATATCTTTTGTATCATACAACAGTAGTGCTATAAGGATGTGAAGACAGAGAAATATAAAAGGTCAAAATATTCAGAGTATTTTCTCCACAGCTAATAGTTCTTGATAGTCCAATTGAGTTTAATCCTGTACTTATACTATGAAGAAGCAGGAGCACCAGGACAGAGATTCATGTAAAGCATTGGTTTCCATCAAAAGAATTTTTAAAAGTAATGAAAACCAGGCAACTTAAGATGGCTGTCGGTTCTTTGGCCTTCTTCACTGCACACAACAAAATATGTTTAAATGAGCATTTAGTCAAGCAGTCCACGAAAGAACTTGGCTGAAACTGAAATTTAAGAAATAAGATGTACTCACATTAAGAGTACATCTTAATGTGAGCACTGTCTTGAAAATTGTTCAGTTGTATCAACAGCACCATTTTGTCATAATAAATGGACTATTGATTCCCATAAAATGTAATTAATGTGGAAATTAGGATGTGCTTGGCATGCGTTAAGACTTTCTGTATTCACGCACATATCCTTATGCACACACACATATAATATTTTACTTTGTCTGATATTTCCATTTATGATACCTTTTGCCAATAGCCAATACAGTTTCAGAACAGACACCTCACTGTGGAGGTCATAATGTTCACTAATAACACAAACCAAAAAATGGTGCATGAAAGTAGCTCTGAACAAGATCTATATTCTCTACTCTCTTTATCTGATGTATTTATATTTCAAGACTCTTTTTCATTTTAAACTTAAGAAGGGAAGAACACAGGTGAGAATTTAACACCATAATAATTTTGGATAAATGCATGGCAGCTAAAATCAAATTCTCAGGTTGGTGTGATGTTTTTAACTGAAGAGTACATTTGATGTCAACATCTTATGTCATCAGTCTTTGTGTTGCTTTAAAAAATGTCTGGTAAGTTATCCATAAAGTAATTTATTTCAGATATTACACAGCCAATGCATAATGCTCCCACTAAAATTATACCTGAGAGTCATTCCTATTCCTCTCCTCCCTTTGCCATTTTGCTTTTATAGCTTTTTCAGAGTTAGGGTTCAAATCAGTAAACCAGGGTAATTTGTCATTGTAATTCTCTTTGCTTTTAACCACATCACATATGAATTAAGAGCTTTCATATGATGAAAGGTGGGTCATTTAGTCCTGCATGGCATTTTACTCTATGTCTTTGTTGTTATGAAGAAAAAAAAATCTGTCATAGATTTGCATTTTTGACCATCATAAAAATGTACTAATCACAACTGGATCCTAACTTAGCCACATGGAGTTATGTTGGCAACTGACATGAAAGAAATACTGTGGGGAAAATCCAAATCATAAACAGGTTTGCATAGGCAGGCTTTGGTCTAAGTCCTTGTTCCTCCTTCAGATTACTTCTTCCTCTACCGTGTGAATAAGGGACCAGGGCTAGTACATTTATTTTGCAGTTGTTTTAAGGTGGCTGCAGTACGCAGAACAGGTATGAAATTTGAGAATGAGGGTAGTGAAGAATCAGGAAGGTGATTTTCTAACCTATGTTGCATTTGTCATGATGCAGGATCTGAATCTTGGATGGGAAATAGTTCAGGCAGGGATTTTATCTTAGCTCACATTAGTCTACACTGCCCTTCAGCTGTCAGTTCAGCTCCCAGTCATTCACCTTCTGTAATTTTTCACAGTTGGACATCATCTTTACTACCCTGAATAGTTTAACAGAATCAGCAACTTCTGCCATTTCAATATTCACCTCCCTTTTCCAGGATACATCTACATATGTTGAACACCAAAGGACCAAATACAGATCTCTATGGAGATTCTGCTGTGGACTGTCTTCCACTGCAAGAACTGTTGTTCATTTAGTCTTGTCCTATTTTATTTTATTTTTATTTTATTGATTAGCCTTTTCATTAGAAGTACTTTTTCAGTTTAGTACTCTTAAAAAACATTGGTGAAGTATTAGTGAAAGCAATGTGCAAATGCAAAGAAATGTTAGTCAGATTTCCTTTACCTAAATGCTTGTTTGTCTCTTCAAAGAACTCCAGTAGGTTTGTGACATCTCGTGTTTATCCATATGTCACTTAATTCCAGTCTTTACTCATTCCCCTGGAGCTACATGTATTTCTATAATTAAATAAATAAATAAATAAAATGTTGTTGTTTTAACCACTTTCTAGTTCTCTGACACCGAGTCAGTTTTCTACACACCACAGTTTGCAGTTTGGCTATTTCACACTCGAATTCCCTCAGAAGTCTGGGGCAGAAGCCATCTGGTCCCGGTGATTTGTTATTGCTCATATTATCTTGATCCATAACCTTTTCTGCCAATAATTTAATTTCAGACAAAGCCTCTGACACATATGTTGAAAAGAAAGATCCCTGCTTCTACAATTCAAACTGTCCCACAGTTAACAGGATGCAAAATAAATAAATAAATAAATAAATAAATACAGAATGCAGCAACAAAAACAGACAACCAACCAACCAACCACAACCCCCCTCCAATGTTATAACCTTTATCTACTTAAAACATTATTTCTTTACTTTACTTTTTTTCTTTACTTTTTGCAGATTATCTGCAAAGCTTTCTTCTTCTGTTCTATATGAAATAAATACATGTATGTGGCATCATTTTTTTCACCTTTCCAAGTTGTTCTTCAGACGTTTTTTGTGATCCACTGATCCACCTTACTGTCTTTTTATAATGTGCCTGCTGAAGTTTATGATTTCTTGGACACAAATTCATTTTTTTTCAAGGACACCTTCTTAATTTATTAGTTTCCATTGCATTGCTATTTAGCTATTTGCATTTGCCATTTCTCAAGTCTTTATTGACAGGTAGGATGCTTTTGCTTTAAAATTCTACTTGTTTCCATGCTGCTTTCAAACATTTTTTTCCTTTTATTGTCCTCTTCTGCTAGCCTTTTTACTTTCTTGTGGCTCCCCTTTTGAAAGTTGTGTACAGATATGGTGAATTTCTTTTTGTTGCCCCTTGAGAGAGGTTGAATTTGAGCAGTCACTGTTTCAGAATGTCTCTTTATGATTTTGGAGCAAGTCCCACATGATGGTGTAGACCAAATTGGAAGTCACTTCCTTCATGAAAGAGTCATGATGGGTAACTAAAACAAGCCTTAGTGTCACAATTCAGTGTTACCTTTCTCCAAACTGTAAAAAAGTAAATTAAATATTCAGTTTTCACTGTTTCTTTTACTTCCTGAGCATGTTAACATCACTGTTACCATAGTAGAAAGAAATGATATATTCCTTGCCTATTGATTTTTGGATATGTCTGAGGCAGCTAAAGATAGTACTGAAATTCGGGAAACAGGAGTCTTCAGTCTATTCAGTTCAGTTGGATTTCTTTTCTATTCTTCATGTTGTTTCTTAATAACATATTTTCACATGCAGACTTTTACTAGAGAAAGTATAGTCCAAATTCACATCTCTCCTTATACAGTAAATATAAGCTCTTCCTTTCTCCTTATGCAGTCATATGCCTCTGCATCAGTATCCAATGCTTTCCCCGTACCACACCCTTCCACATATGGTTCCTATTCCTCTGCCTCATAGTCTAATTTTATTTTCAGATTTATGATGTTATGATATGGTTGTAATTTGCTCTTATTCAAACCAGCCAGCATACATATACATGATTAAATAAGTGTGAAGCCCTTGTGCTGAAATGAGTTGGAACACTTTAAAATTCTGAGTCAATGAGTTAATATTAGATGCAATATTATAGTGATAGGTCCTACTGCACATTTGCCTTCCATTTTTAACGTTATTTTTCCATGTTCACACTCTCATACAATCTCTTTATTAGTGAAAAGCTAAGTAACTATTCATATACACTCCTGTATAAATGAAAGATATACTATGTAAAACAATTTATTACACATATATTCCTCCCACATTTTTCTAAAACAAATACACAGTCCAAATTAAAGCATTCTGAATCTTTTCCTTTCCTCATTTGCTTATTTTTACTCCTTACTCAACAGACTTCACAAACCCTATTTCCAAATAGCTACTTTCAGACTGATAGTATTGTACACAATATAAAGCTATGCAAATACTGAGGAAATACTCAACTATCAGCAAAAATGATACACTGCACTTCAGCCCCAAACCATTTGCTATAGTAAATGACAGCTGTTGCCCATCTTTCCTGCTAGGGCTTCCACTTACAAACCCCAGTTATGGTCATACATGTTATTTTTCATTCTATAAGAAATGGAATTAAACTTCTGGATTATCAAATCCACTCTCACTTATACAATGGTGTAGAAGCGTCATTCATGGGAACACATGCAAAGCTAGCTGCATACGACAGCTTCTTATATTAAAACACATTTAAGAATTACAACAGGAGGTAAAAATCCCCCCCTCCCAAATAATAATAATAAAAAAAAAATTAAAAAAAAATCAGATGGGTCTGACAGTTCTAAGAATAGGAAGTAAATTAGCGGCAAGTTTATGAACAAGGGGTTAAATTAGAGTACAATATTAGTAAGTACTATTAGACAATGCTAGAAAGCACACTAGCTATACTGATGAAAAAAATCCTTTCTGCTCATCTTCTGCCTCATAAAAGGACAACTACATCATAAAATCACAGCATCAAGATTGTCAGGAATACAGTTTCCCATAGTACAGCAAAAGTCGAAGATTACCTTTGCAAATACCCCCACCCCAGAACTACTCTCTTTTAAAGGAGATACATTTGCTGTGTCCAGTCTCAACCACCAAGAGCCAGTAAAAATCAGAGATGGTATCACGTGTGTTTGTATAACTGGCTGGAGAAGATTATGGTTATGAAGATGTGTGCTACTGATGTAAAACTGTAGTCCCCATCAGCAAAGGAAGATGGTGAAGGATTTTATTGCTTGTTGGAGTAAATTTTGATGGCTAAATGCCAAATTTGAGTAGAACCTCTGGATGACCCTGACAAGAAGAAGCCAAGAAACAGTCTGTAAAACCAGCATGCTTCAGCAATGAATGCTTTGCTGTGGGGTGCACAGCCCACTGCACCAAGCACTGACGAAATGAAAATCCCTGTGAGTCAGTAAAGAGACATTCTAAATACAACATTGGTTTAATATGAAGAAAGAGTTATTATTATTATTATTAAAATACCCTCACTTTTGACTTATTATATTGTTGTGGTTTTACCCAGCTGGGCAGCTGAGTTCCAGCACAACTGCTCTCACTCCCCTTCCTCAAAGGGAAAAAATATAATGGAAAAGGGCTCAAGGGCTGTGATAAAGACAGGCGGATGACTCAATAATTAGTGTCACGGACCAAACAGACTCAGCACAGGGAGATTAATATAATTTATTAACTATCCCTAACAACGTAGGACAGTGAGAAACTAAAAAAAAAAAACAACCAACAACAACAAAATAAATCTACCTTCCCCCCATCAACTCTCTTTCACACCCTCTCCAAGGTGGTACAGGGGAACAGTGAATGGGGGCTGTGGTCAGTCCCTAACGCTTCATCTCTGCCTACCACTGCTTCAAGGGCAGTCTCTGCTCCTGCTCCACGTGCAGTAGAAACAAAACCTTGAGGGAGGCGTGGATAAAGAATTGGCTACAGTGTTAAAGAGGACCTTTGGGCAGTGGGCAATTGCTGGCTGGCTCCAGGCGCGTGTCTGAGGGTCTCTGACCAACTGTATGATAGATTCGGGCACGTGGACAGCACGTGGGGCTACGGGGAGAGGACATGTAGTAGTGAAAAAGGGCAATAAACGCCTCCTGTTCAAGAGCCATCAGGAGTCTGTGTCTTGCATCCCTTCAGCAACACAAAGATTTGGCTCCAGATCCAAAAGGTCATGTATTTGGCAATTTTATTTATGGTAGCACTCCCCACCCCTCCCACCCCCTCTTTTCCCTTCCCTCCACTCCCCTCCCCTATGCTCCCTGTCCCTACACTCTGTTACACTCCCCTCCCCTATACTACCCTACACACCCCTACACTCCCCTACACTCTCCTCCCACGGGGGGGCTGCAGCGTGGAGATCTGCTCCATGGGGGATCCATGGGCTGCAGGGGGACAGCCTGCTCCACCGGGGGCCTCTCCCTGCACAGCCCGCAGGGGAACTGCTGCTGCCTGCCTGGAGCACCTCCTGCCCTCCTGCTGCACTCACCTGGGGGGTTGCAGGGCTGCTTCTCACTCCTCACTCTCCCAGCCTTTGTGGTGCAGCAGTTTTTTCCCCTTCCTTAAATCTGCTCTCCAGAGGCCCACCCAACATTGCTCACTGGCTCGGCTCTGTTGAGCAGCAGGTCCCTCTGTAGCCAGCTGGAGTTGGCTCTGATCTGACATGGAGCAGCTGCTGGGCTCTGCTCGTAGAGGTCACCCCTGCAACCCCTCACTACCAAAACCTTGCCACATAAACCCAATTTTAAAATTTGTTTTAAAACAAATTTAAACCCTAGTTTAATTTTTCTTTTAATTTTTTTCTTTTCTCAACTAATAGCTTGCTCAGGCAGGGCTTTCAGTAAAAATACTTAGAGGTTTAACAAGAACTCTCTCAACTCTCCAACCAATCTAAAATCCTTAACAGAAAGGGTATGTTCACCTTCAGGTATGATCATGTCAGTGGATCATGAAGTGAAGAAATACTGTTGCTAAAAGCGCTACTGCAAAGGAGCAAACCTTGTTTCACTTTTAAAAATTATTGGAGGTGCTGAACTTAAGATTTCTAAAGAAATTGCCTTGTTTCGGTCAGTCCTCCTAGAGAGCTAGGTCTGGTTTAGATCACTGTACTTACTGATGTGATGGGGAGCATCCAGATGAAGAATGACGCAGCTGTAAGGACAGGATGAAGGCATGGGTGTTTACTGTGAGAAGGGGAAAATAAGTGAAAAGCAAAGGAGAAACAATGGTGATGGTGGCAGACTATAGCCTCAGTTTCCCTGGGTCTACCATGAAAAATACAGGAAAGCGAGATGAAAATTTTGAAAAAAGTTAAAGCAGGATGAAATTATATTTAACTTGTTACAATCCTGATAGCAACATTTAAATGGTTACCTGAGCATATTTTGAGGACCCACATAGCTGAAGAACGGGTTAACTATTTCCTCCGTTGTAGTCTGTGTGTTGCTGGTTTTATTTTTGTTCAAGGCAAGAGACACAGCGACTTGTGCTTGTTCTGCAGCTCCCTTTACTGTGCTTCAAGAGAGATAACAAAAGAGGAGGCTTACAAAACATTTAAATCATTAAAGCGGGTGTTACTTCATACATCAATGCTATACCTTGCCTTAGTCGCCACTTGTGTGGTGAAGTTGCAGATGAATTGGAAATTCCATTGCTAGAACAGTGCTAGGATATTTTCAATGCAGATGATTAGTTTATAACTCACTGCAGTACATTACAGAGGTGCCAGTTATGATGCTTATGGACCATGTCACTGGGGTGGTTCTTTTTAACACTGGATGCTTAATATTCTTTGTGTCAGAAAACTCCTGTTAGGAATCTTAGCACTAAACAAACATTTTGTAAATGGGTCTAGGAAAATCAGGAAATAACATAAAGCCTTCTGGGCATCTGCCAGCTATGTTTTGTATGCAGTACAACCGAAGTTCAGTCAAGCTGGCAGGCTGTCACCTATATTTTTCCATGTACTCGCTTTTCAGGCATGCAGCAAAGAATGACAGTGCACTACAGCTTGTGTTAGGCTACTAATCATGTCGCCTTGTAGAGAATAACTCCGTGCTGAGGAGCTTTCCAGATATTATAAGGTGTCTTTTCAGCTCTTGGCTAAAGGGTATTGTGAGAGAAAATAATTGTACTACATACATTAACGTACTTACTGTACACACTGTAATGCTGTAACTTGAGATGTTCCCTTTTTAGTTTTGCTACATTGGTCATGTGTAATACAATGAAGGAATTGAAATGCTTTAGCATTTTGCTTTTTAGATTGGTGGTGAGTATTTAGAAGCTGCAGTTGTGTTGTGCAGATTAACATGATATAAACGAGATGGCTAAAAAAAAAAGTCTGTAACAGTTACTACCTGATAGCTGTTGTTTCTGTAGCTGAAATGAGGATGTGAATCCATGCAATGAATAACAACAAGTCAGTTCCTGGAACCAAAGGAATGAGTGGAAGATTGCTTGGAATGGTGCTTCTGAAGCTGTGCACAAAATATGTGTTTGTTATATAATAAAGACAATAAACCTGCCTGTCCCTTTAGAAAATGGAATAATATTTGTAAACCTTCAAGGATTAGTTGGACGTTCCAATTGTAGTGAATTGCTCTCTGGAGTTCTTTTTCCTCATTAACTAAATCTGGCTCTCCTGGATCACTGCATTCTAAAATACTGGAATTTAAATGTTTAGTAGATATAGATGTGTCAGTTAGTACAGGATATGATAGTAGAAAAAGTTGTTGAGATTGTTACAGAATTTTTTTGAGGAAAGGAACGTGGTATGCATAGCTTGGAAAGTGTTCAACTGTCAGTATATTAATTCATATTTGTACTACTGCAGGGGGTATTCCACATTTGTGAAGCCAGATTGCCACGGGAAGCTGAATGCATTTTAACCACAGCTTGCTTTTGATGTACTTAGCTGCCTATTTTTGTGCCCTGTCCTTCATCAGTGTGCTCCTGTCAACCAACGTTCCAGAATTACCAAAATTCTTTTATTATGATACATAGCTATTTAAAGTAGCAGTCTAATACAGCCTTTATGCTCTTCTCTTTTGACACGTTTTTTCATGCCATTGTCCCACGTACTTGTTTTCTGGATTCATTTAGCAGTCTAGCATTTATGCTATTACACTTTAATACATGTATGTGCAAGTGCTCTCAAGTTGTCCACAATTTGTTGGAAACAACAGTTCTGTTCTCCTATGGTTGTTGGGGTGTGCTTAAGAGAAAAGCAGAGGCGTGAGAGATAACAATGAAAAGGTAGCATTGTGCAGGGAAGAAAGACAACATAACACTCCTGCGTTCAATTTAAGTGGAGCAACTGAGGTGCAAGCTGTCAGGAAAACTTTATGCCCACCCTTGGGCAATAATGTGATACCACAAAATATCAAGTTACCATAAATTTGAGAAGTGAATTCTGGTTCTCTGTGACTTGGAGCAGCCTGAGCCCTAACTCAGCAAAAAGCAGGATACAAAATAAGTGAGCTAGTAAATGAAAATACAGAAGTACTGAATTATGAAGCAAAATACATAAGAACAGGAGATAGAGTGATGTCAGGGAAGGGTGCACAACTGTGCAACAGTCTACAAGAAGAAAAAATGTGGAAAAAAAAAGAATTGAAGTCTATCCATCCTCTGAGCACAGAAAATAATTAGTGGATAGAATGGATAAAGGAGGTAACACTCTGCAATATCTGCACCTATCGGTAAGCAAACTTATCACCTGGAAACTATGATTTTTAAACTGAAATTTCTCTTCAGATTGTATCTTTAGGCAATACCATTACCATTCTTATTATATTTACCCTTTTGCGATGTGAGTCGTTTGTTAACTACACATCTTGTGAATTGTGATCTGACAACCTAGAGGAACAATGAATAGAAAAAAAATGTTTTGAGCAACGTCCAGAATATAAATGTATACAAGCATAATACCTTATGAAGATGTATTTAGAATAGTGACATTTAGAAACGTTGGAGGACAGATGTTCTAAAACTCAGAACACATTCCAACAGAGCATACTTTAAAGGGTGACTACAAGTATATCAATGTATCTTAGTTGTGAAGGTTAAATTTCTCCAGATAGAACTGTTTTGCTCAGCAAGACTTATTTTATTTATTTATTTTTTTTTAAGGCAAAATAGCACCAGCTACGAAGCCAGAACTCTTTTTTTTTTTTCCATGGATTCCTTAAGTTTGACAAGTTTGATTTTTCAAAAACGAATACCGCATCAAATAGATTTTTAATTGTGTATTATGTTACTAAGTTATTCCAGAACAATATAGTTCACCAGCCATATCAAAAATGTGATTATACAATCCTGGCAAAGTCAAATCTAGACTTGTTGAGACATTTTACTTCATTTTAAACACCTTAAATGATAAAGTCAGCTGCCACCTAATACACAAACTACGTTTTATTGTCTTGTAATAACATTCTGACAATGATTTTAAGAAGTTGTCTTATCTTGTTGGAGAAACAGTTATTTGAGTAACCATGTTAGGCTTGAAATATATTCTTTCTTCCTCCCCCAAAATCTTTTCAGTTTACTTCCGTATGTTATTGTTGCAGGGAAAAAAAAAAAAAAAAAAAAGGTTCTCATACCTCAGATCCTTACTGAAGCTGATATTAGTTTAAATTTCTTTGACAAGATGATGTATTTCATGACACATGACATACCCTAATGGAGGGGAAAAATAAGTCACTGGTTACGTTCCGATCCACTGGGCTACGACAATGAGCCCAGGCTGCTATGTGGTTTTAACCTTATATTCACACACACACACACACACAAAACAAACAAACAAACAAAAATACTAAGAAAATCTAAGAAAAGAACAGTTCCAGGAAATCTTAAAACCTTGGAGGCATTTAAGAAAAAAAAAAAAAAAACACACACAAAGAATAGCATTTTATGTTTTGTTAGAGCAAAAGCAAAAAAAAGCTGAGAGATTGTCCAAATATTCTAAGGTCTACCTATACCAAGTATTTAGCTGACGGAATCTTTAATTACTTCAACATCAGCTGGACCTCCATTTGATGAAAAAAAAACTAAGGATACAGAAATCTCAAACATTTGCCCCTAATCTTTCTGATGTAGACCGCTTGCTTCTTTTTGCTTAAAACAAAACAAATGAAATAAGGATTGGAAGGAAATTACTACTGGTACCAAGGCAAGGCTTAACCTGAAGCTGTCTTTCCAGTTCTCTCTCAACACATGATGAAACAATAGCAACAGACCCTTGCTCACAAGCGAATTTAATGCCGCTCCTTACACGCTCCACGTTAATACAACATTACAGTTACAGACCAGCACGAGAGCTTTATATAGCTTCATTATTCTCACAAAAGAAAGTTCTCACTTAGAAAGTTCTCATTTAGTTTTTTAAACTTCTCGTGAGAGAATATCAGTACAGTTCACATTCTTCCTCTTTTCCTCTGCCCCCCCATTCATTCTGGGGGGAGGGGGGAAGCTGAGTAATGATATTTTGTTTTGGAAAAAAGCCTCCTGGATATGATAAAATGTTACTTGCGAAAATTTCACATGAAGTCAATCAAAAGTTAGTTTTATGCCATCCATGCACTGTTAGCAGTATATCAAGAGACAAGTCTTTGCTTGAGCAAAACTAAAAGAGATGCATGTTCTGGGAGACAGAGTACATAAGCAACCAGGATCCTGTTTTCATGCTTGTACCTGACCTGTTTTCAACCTTTTTATACATGTTTTCCCTTCAGCAGTTGTGTTAGCTAGGTTTTTCGAACTCTTCAGCACAAGGACCATCTGTAAAAATGTTTTGGACAGCACCAGTTCAACAGGGTTGTGATCTAAATTCAGTTGTCAAAACACTGCTGTAGTACAACACAAAAAGCCACCACTATGTTTGACTGCTTAGATGATTGATAAATTAGCATTGCAGTCTGTTACTCCATATGCATTTTGTATATGGTCCTTCATATATGGAACCATTAACAAATTTACTGCATGTGATTTTCCAAACACGTGGTTGGACTGAATGGGTTATGTGCCTACAAAGATACTGCTGAAGCTTCTTTCTGACTTGTTTGTTATAGATTGTAAAAAGTCAGGGATTAACTCAGTTGTTGAGCTCACTCAAGGTGAGAAATGCTGGGACACTCACAACTAGTTTCAACAACTGTTTATTTCAGATCTGTTTTCATAAAAAATTTAGCTCACTGAAATCCGGTCATAATAGGTAAATACACTTCAACTCAAACTTTGGTTCCACATCTGTAGAATGGTTAAAAAAAAGTTTGAAATGAGAACTGTGAGCAGGATGACTGAAGGAATTTTCAAGGCCTTCTACCACATGCTAGCCTACATATAAAGTTAGGGGCTTCAGCCCCCTTAACACCTTTTGCACCATAAAATAATTTCAGCTGTAAACCTCATGTCTACCAAGTAGTATGATGAACTGTTAATATATAACACACATTTGTTAAACAATGGTAGGGCTCACATCCTCCTGAGAGCAGGAGCGATCCCAGATGTCTGAAATGCAAAAATGCAATGAGTTCACAATGCAACAAGATCTTCCATAATATTTTATATAAGCCATTAATGACTCTTTCAAGACAACCAACCAAAAAGTCTTTATAAAAAGAGGAAATGTGAAATAAAAAGAATTACAGAAAAAGAATTATAGAATCACTGAATCATCTAGGTTGGAAGAGACATCGAAGATCATCCAGTCCAACCTCTGACCCAACACTAACCAGTCCTCCACTAAACCATATCACTAAGCTCTACATCTAAATGTATTTTAAAGACCTTCAGGGACGTCTCAACCACTTCCCTGGGCAGCCTACTCCAATGCCTAACAACCCTTTCAGTAGAGGAGCAGTACTGCTTTATACGTTTGTTAAGTTTTGGTTAATATTTGAATGTCTTGTTTAAGCAGTATTAAAAATGCTATTTAAAAAGAAGGTTCAAACTTCAAAATTTTTGGATGTAGAAATACTCAGACCTTAAATTACAAGTCCCTCATTGTTATTCTCCTCTACAAGTATATGAAAAAAGAGATGAAGATTAAAACATCAGAAACTTCATGTAATGTCCTATAAATGCATTCAGCAGGGTAAGCCACATTTTGAAAGAAGCTCTATAAAGTGATTTATGTGCAAAGAAGAACAGGCTTTGTGCTGGCCTTCCTTTCTCTGACTGTTCTTGTGTAATGCAGATGTATAGCTGTGCTTCAGAAATATTCTTTATATCTAGAACCTGGTATTGTGAAATAAATCACAAGTGCCTAACCCTTTCACATAAGCTGCTGTAAATTGCACATTGAAGGGAATAGAATACAAAACTAGAATTTTTTTAGTCATCCTCAAACTCCATTGAAGTAGTTGAGGATTTATTGCACTGATATTACCTCCTTTAGCTGATCTAAAACCAAAAATAAGTCTCAGCTCGCACTATTCCAACAGGTAAGGTTCTTGATGTATTACACAGGCATCTGAGATGCTGTAGCTTCCGCTGCTGCTGAGGTTGATTTCCCTTCTGAATCAGAACAGCCACTGAAAGCCCATACTACAACAGTTCCACGTAGACAGTTCTGCCTTTACATATATTCCACCACCTTGATATACGATTTTATTCGTTTGCCTCTCTTCCACTACCTAATTAATTTAGTTGTATCACAACATACAATAAGGTTTTAGCCTTGTTCAGTTGTTTCACTGTAAGAAAACTAATATTTTTGCTTTAAAAAGAAAGAAAATTAAAGAACATCTATATGAAAAACAAAAGCTACTTTAATTCTCACACAGCAATCACTCAAATGTGTATGGCTCTCTCTCAAAGAGAGAATGGAGACAGCTACTGTGTCTGATTAAAAGCTTGCTTATAACCTCTTCTTGCTACTTACTAGACTTGATTGAGTGCAAGTTGATAAAATTCATAAAGACTTCTGGAAAGCATGATTCAGAAAACATCCAAATTCAGAAAAACAAAAGAAACAAGACCTTCTATTTTAGCGTCATTTCACAGGTACTCTCTGATTTCTAGAAAGTAAGATCCAGCTGAAATGTTTCTAGTTTTAGATCTTGCTCTGGGAAATTCACACAATATGCCCGTGAAAAGGGTAACAAAGGCAACCAAATTTAAAATAACTACAAAAACAAAAACATAGAAGCAGAGTTGTTTTTAAAAACATCACTCAATTCAGATTCAGAAAAATTATATAGGCATTCTATGCAGATGAACAGGTCTTACGAGCCTGAGTTTCAGATGGTTACCACACTTCCTAGTGATAGGAAGGGAAATTTAACGAGTTCAATTTTCTCTCATCTTTTTATTTGAAAGCTTTATTCAAGTAACAATATTCCACATTTATAAGTGCATTCAACAGACATACAAAAAACTCAGTATTTCTGAATGTGTTCTGAATACCCAAAGCTTGCAGTACTATCTTCACATGAACAGAAAAAAGCTGAACCTGAAGTACCATAGCTTATTCCAGATCTGAAGACTAAACCACATCACTGAAGTGTGAAACTCATCAATCCTATTTTCAATGCAACCGCTGACAAGTTCTTTGGAAGGTGACAACATCCTAACCTGTATTAACAAGCTTACCAGCACATGGTTTTGGTGGATAGGTATGCAAGTATGAAAGAAGAGTAGAACCCAAAAGAACAAACTAAAATCACCTTGAATGTGCATCGGGGAAGAAATAGAGCACATACATCTCCAGAGAAACAGCTCAAGAGACTATAGTAAGGATTCACCTGTACCCTTACAATCCACAGCGTAGGACTAATGCATTTCAGAAAGGGGATCAACAGGTATGTAGAACAGTTAGTCAAAGATCTGCACTTTTAACTCTGTAACCTCAAGAGCAATCACTACTCCTTTCCATTCTCCCTCTTACTCCAGTTTTAAGTACAGCTTCACTTTTCTACTAGTACCATTCTTTATGGTCAACTCAGGCTTTTCGCACCAGCCACTCATTCTCATTTATTAACCAAAAATATGACTACTGCACAGCAGACAAATTAGACAAATAAAACCGGGTGAAAAAAGCAAACGGTTTTCAGCTTCCTGACAATATCTGGTAGTGATTAAACCCACAGTAGAACCAAGAGACCATATTTAAATAAAGATTTATTTGAAAAGTATTTGAAAAATGTAGGTATTTAAACGCTATTAATAACTGTAACTATTCCCTCCAAGAACACATTTCCATATATTTAGTTACTTGTTTTAATGGTCTTTGTATTACTTTCTAGAAAGTAACACGATTTATTGACAAGCACTCTACAGCATCGGGTAAACAAGCCTTGCACTTTTAGAACCTGACCGTTCTGGAGGTGGGGAAGAATATCTCTGTCAAGTGAATTAGTTAAACAAGCTACTTATATTTTTTTTTTTCCTTTCTTTCTCCTTCCCACACCTCCATCATCATCCCCCTCCTAGAACTCTTACACATTAGTCAAAGCTGGAAGAGGATCATTTGACCCAGTACGGCAAGACTTATAAATAATGAACTATAAGAAAAATTATGAACTAGTATTGAGATTACTCATTCTGCCTGTTTTATGATGCCACTGCAAATACCTGTGATTTTCTTTAAATCAAACAAAAACCCCCACATCATCACAAACATGATATTACAGAGTTATGGAAGAGTCAAGTTGGTGAAAAAATTAAAGAATGAAAAA